GGGGGGGGGGGGGGGGTGGTTAAGTGATTTTTAGTGGCAGGCAATGGGGGTGACTATTTGTCGGGAACGCTTATTTGAGGGGGAGACATGTACTTATTTAAAGGGGTTGCTAATTTCATTTTTCAGTATTTCAGCCTCAAGATAGCATTTGCCTTTGTTTCAAACAGACAAAAACAAACTAAGCAATAAAACTACGACAAATTTTCATTAAAACTATCCTCAAGCACTATATTCAGAGGAGCTGAGTCATTAACATCTGATCGTGTGATGTCCCCAATTAATCAGTTATTCTCCTGTGATTGTAACTTTTATGCTACCCTTTTGAAAGATAAAAGTCCAGGCCCGGGTTCCTGGAAAGCTGATTAGCACTAATCTAGGATTAAATCCCCATAACCTAGGATTAAGATTTATCCTTCGATTAGTTTCTGTTCCTGAAAGCTCGATTAGCCCCTTCCGAGGGACAAACTAGAGATTAAATCTAACATACCTAGCGAGGTCGATTAATTCAGTAATCCGGGAATAAAGTTGATCAAAGTTTGTCAAAACAAACAAAACGGCAGACTTACTAATCCCAATAATTCCTCCAAAAATAAGCGAAAAAATGTTTCTTCAGCACAAAATTTTTCTTGACAACTGTTCAGACAAGGAACTTCACAGTAGATACCGATTTGGCCCAGATTCTATTGAATTTCTCACAGAAATCCTTGAAAACAATCTGCAGCAACAGACAAAGAGAAACCATGCGCTGTCGCCAACACTACAAATTCTTGTAGCGTTACATTTCTTTGTGAGCAGCAGCTTTCTAAAACCCATCGGTGACACCGTTGGCCTCCTAAACTCCTGTCTCAAGGGTGGTAAAAGATGTGTCACTTGCTGTGGCCCAGAAGCAGAAAAAAATCATTTTGTGGCCCTCTCCCACCGAACTGCAAGTAGTCAAGCGAGGGTTTTATGACAAGGGAGGGTTCCCTGGTGTAATTAGCTGCATTGACGGGACCCATGTGAGGGAACACAAAGCGAAAATAAATGAATCATTTATGCCAACAATGTCATTGCCAAGTAGGAAAATTTTTCATCTAGGGCAAGGGGTTGGTGATGGAAGCCATCTTTTGAGAAGTTCAAAGTTCCTTCTGTTTTGATTTTCTTTTTGTTTTTCTTTTCTGTCGAGCGGAGATTCTCCTACTTGTCTTTTACTTCTTGAACAGTACCATTTGCTTTCCCTACCACATTCACGTCTTTCATTATTTCTTCCCATATTTGGTATTTTTACTTGTTGGTGATGTTATTTGTCAACTTTGACTGAATTATATCAATATTTTTGAGCATACTTTCTGTTATGAGAGATATTTCGTTGATAGAAAAATTTGGTTTTCTTTTCCTTTCGGCCTCTGTGTCAACTTCCATCACTTCTTTTTCCACTATTTTCCTTTCGTGCACTTTTTTCCTCTGCGCGAAATGCAAATGTTGCGCACCAAATATTCGAAAAACTGGTTTATCCCGTTTAAACTGTCACTAATCCAGGATCAGCTAATCGGGGGATAAATCCGCTTTCAGGAACATGCTTTGATACCTTGATAAGTTATCCTAAGGATAAGAAATTTAATCGTCGTTTAACTGCTAATCGGGGGATAATTTAATCGGCTTTCCAGGAACTGGGGCCAGTATACCATGTATTTAGTAAGGCAGGGTGTTAAGACTATTCGGCAACTTCATTTACGCTTTAAAGCTGAACGAGGAATAACAATCAGCATGCTTCTCATTCAAAGCAGAGATGCAAATAAGTGGCCGGGTATTCTTAAGTTAATAACAGTGTAATAACCATGGAACGAGTATAGACACGAGCTGACGCGAATTAGCCAGGGAATGAGCTTTCTCACACCTCGGCAACTCGGTCGTATTAAATACCTTAACCACGCACTTTCAAGTTCGAGTTCAAACTCAAAAAACCATGGAACAGAGGGAAGTGAAAGTTTTCACACCTCAGCAACTCGGTTGTACCTTAACCACGCACTTTCAATGAAGTATTCTATATGTAATATACAACTCTTACCTAAGGCTGCTGATCTGAAGAAGAAGGCGTTTGATGAATTTCGTCTTAATATGTCGGCGATTGTTCTTTTAAAACTTCTTTCACGGAATGCAATGAAATCTTTCGGAACAAGAGAACATCGACCTAAACCAGATGAGTCATCGATATGTCAGCGGCGCTTTACAAAATGACTGAAATGATCCCGTCCAGGCGGGGGGGGGGGGGGGGGGGGGGGGGGGGTGGGGGGG